TAAAATTAAAACCTAATTAATAACCTTAATAAATTTAGTGGGGATAACAACCTCATCTCTTTATTGAAATCTTAGTTCCAATCCTATCTCAGCTGCCTATTTACTTTTAAAATATATGTCACTATTTACCAAAAATAAAACAAACAGTGAAGAATGCAATAAATGAGTTAGCGATTGGTAGTAAAGAAAGCAATTCTGTTGTAGTCGCAGACAACTGTTTATAGCTAATTTTATTTATTATTCATTACATGAAGTTGACAAAGGACATTACTTTCACACAAGCACTTAACCCAGCCAGCTAGAAGAAGGACACAAGCCCTAACCCTTAGTTATTTTCATTTGGTTCATCTTACATTTCAACCCAAGGTAAATATTCTCAAACTATTAAAAAAAGTATCAGTTTGTTCTGTGCTCTAAGATTCCCTAAAATTTTAACCAATGCCTTGTTCTTCCTTCTCCCTCATTTATTCTCCTCTTGCCCTTGGAATCGTTTCTTTTCTTAGTAGATGAAATCCAACCAAACACCACTAGTATCGGATAAGAAACCAAGAAACATCCCATGTGCTTCATGGGATTCTTTCTATTTTTATTTTGAATTTTCTAGTATGTCCATTCTTGAGGTAGACCTAAATCTAAATCTTGGTGGCTGATAGCCGGCGCCGTCCAAGGGTGGCGTTTCTGCTGTGAGGATATGCTGTTCCTCCCATCCACATGGGCATCTGCCACAAAAATTCTTTCTTTAGAAAAGACAGACAGAAACATCATTACATGCAAGTAACAACATTGAATACAACTGCTGGGAAATCTAGATTTTACCCTGTTGCAAAGGAACCCCAGTGTTTAATCTTGATGGAACTCCCATTTTCTCAAAGTGGAGTTTCAGGGCATGAACTACTTTTGCAGGAATAAGAACTGTGGGACATCCTGAGCAAAAGGAAAACAGAGGAATCTTGTTAATATCTGCTAAAAGTAGACTACAATATCAAAATGCTTAATTGGGATTTTGGGTTTTTAAATTTTCCCCTTTCCCAATTTGCTAAAAAAGAACTACAGTACAACAACAGAAGAAAAAAGGGGATTATCCTAATCTCTATCATAATAAAAGTTGCTTAATTAGATTTTGTGCTTTTCTTCTTCCCCAATTTCTTTTTGCTGAAAGCAACTTGCAAACGGAAAAAACAAGTGGACCAAAGAGGAAGATTCCTCTTCAAATTTGCAAGAATTTTGGACACTAACAAGCAGCAACCTGTGTAGATTGGTTGATAAGATGAGAATCTTGGAATCGTCAGAGTGAAATCTCAAAAAAACCCCCTCCAAACAACCGAGAATGCAGACCTAATTGGAATGTGCATATTAGCTGATAGTCCAGTTCAGCTACCAGTTACCACTAACACCCCCCTCAACAAATTAAACCAAACTTTTGCCTAAATCCTAAAGCGACCCATAAACAGAGACAACCTCAAAACCTTCGAAAAACACGCAAACTAATAAACGAGTTGATTCAACTTTACTTTGTTTCTTGCGTGTCTCGGACGAGGTTCCTATTCTTCGGGGCAAGAACACCCCTGTTCCACCAGACCCAGTTTTGGAACCAGACGTGTCAAGAACAACAGCTCTCATGTTTGAATCATCCAGGCCGCTGCTCTGTTGTGGATGCAGAGTACACCCGGCGCAGGGGTGAGAAGGAACCCTCTGCCCATTGTTAAACCCGCTGGAAACTCTTCCTATGCTTCGATAATCTTGCTTAATCTTCCGTTTTTGATCCATGAGTTTCATGGCCTGTTCTTGTTTAAGCTTATAAAACTGCAAAAAGGGTTTAAAAAAGAAAAAGATAAAGATAAAGAGTTAAATATCGAGTGGAAAAAGGCAATAACTTGAGGAAAGAAAGTCGATGGTTTTTCATGCGTACTTGAATAGCTCGAATTTGTTCATCGATGAGGGATTTTTTGGATTGAAATCCGACATCAGGGTTTCTTGTAGCTAATGGGATTGGTATGGATGCGCTGAAAAGTCCCTTACCGGGGTTGTATTTGGGGATTTCTTCATTGATCTTCATCTTTTCAAAACCCTCAATCATGGGTGTCACCGGCGGTAGTGTTTCTCTCAACCACCCATTTGGACTCTCACCTTTCGAACCCAACGGCAACCAGAGTGTCGATTGAGGAGAACCACTCAAATCCCATGACTTCGAAAGGCACAAAGCAAACAAAAATCAGAACTTGCTAAAAAACTCAAAACAGAAAATCTGAAACAAATATTCCATGAGCAAGAAATCAAAATACCTTTTCCTGTTTATCTTCGTCTTGAAACATGTAGTAAGCCATCTTACGAGTTAACTCGGCAATGTAATCGTCTTCTCCCCCCGCCTCTTCCTCTTCACTGCTCTTCGTCGAACCAACCTCAGACTCCACTGGCGAACTCAAGTACTCAGACCCAGAATCCGATGAGCCAGAAAAGAGAGATCCGTTTTGGCTGTTCGGTTTGCTGCTCACAGAATGAATACCCTCCTGTTCCTCGGTGAAAAACTGCGAAGGAAGCAATAACTCACGGTTGTGCAGGTCAACAGCCATCATAAATGAATTATAGCTCGGCACAGTGAAGTAGAGCAGAAATCTGATGAAGCGTTTGATGATATGCTATTATGGATGTTACCGGCAGGACAAGATACAATTATTACCCGCTCTGCTCACGCAGAAGCAGGGAGAAAGAGAAACAGCGAGACAATTCTAGTACCCCCAAAGCTGAGGTTATAAAATAACAGAGAGAGAGGCAATAAAAAAAACAGGGGTAGGGTTGGGTCTAGAGGAACAGTGCTCTGTTTTCCTTCTGGGTTGTTCTGTAGCATTAGTAGTTGGACCGTACATTTGTCCAGCTATCAAACGCAACTGCCATTTGTTGGAAATGGCAACTCTGTCACGTCTGGTGGTTGATTTGAATCCAAAATGGGTCAAGATGGTTACTACGCTCTATTCCTTGGACACCCAAGAGGAACAGAGCTACTCTGTTCTTGACTCATGGGTTTAGTTTTCTGACCTAACTTGTTTTGTTAGCTAACTAGAGAGGCTAACCGGACTGTCCAATTTTTTTTTATCAAACTTTAAACAATGAGGCTTATGTGTAAGTCAACAAAGCCAGCGGATTACGGGAGATTAGGCATTAGGTCGGAGGGTAGGAGTATAAAGGAATGTTGGGTCTTGTTGACTTAGTTAATATTGTTCTCCACATATAAAATTATTATTGAGGTTTATATCAACATTAATAATTTTTTGAGAACTGCCCTTGTGATTTAACAGTTATTAATTCTTTAGAAAAGGTTTTTTATATTAAGTTGGAGTTGTTGGATTTGAGTTTCGTTTTCAATTTTTTTTAAAAAAATATTGATAATTTTTTAAAATAAT